GGGTCTCATCCTCTGGAAAACAACAGTATCGCCCCCGCACCTGGTCCAGGTCCTGGCAGAGGCGCACCCCTACTCATCAGTCCCCTGACACACATTGGAGGCCAAGAACATCTTCTGGAGGCCAGAAACCAGCCTTCCAAAAGCCAAAATTTGGTTCAGGCCAACAGGCTTCTCGCACCAAACAGTCCAAACCCTCCAAGCAGAGAAAAACTCAGACTTCCCTGTCATCGAGTCAGCAATTACCCGTCTGTCACCCTTTCTTCACACTTGGCATCACATCACCTCGGACGAGTGGGTGTTTGCCATCTTGACCAGAGGTTCCAAAATCGAATTCATCCAGAACCCCAATACCTCAGTCATCGTCTCCATGCCCCCTTCCCCACCTCTTCTCGAGGAGGTGTCTGTCCTTCTGCAAAAGGGAGCCATCGAACACGTACCACCACACACCTCCACGGGACGGGATTTTATTCCCAATACTTCACAGTCCCAAAGAGAGACGGGGGCATTCAACCCATATTAGATCTCAGGGAGCTGAACCGTTTTGTGATTTACCACCGATTCAGCATTCGTGCCTTCAACAGATCATGCCATTGCTCCGCAGACACGTCTGGATGGCCACCCTCGACCTCCAAGATGCGTATTTCCACATCACTATCCACCACTTCCACCGTCAATACCTACGCTTTGCGATTGGTCACCGGCACTTCCAGTATACGGCCCTTCCATTTGGCCTCTCCAGTGCCCCAAGGGTCTTTATGAAAACCATGATTGTGGTTGCAGCTTTCCTCCACCTCCGGGGTAACTCGATCTACCCCTATATAGACGACTGGCATCTGGTGGCGTCTTCCAAGACCACCCTAATCTCGAACGTCCAAGAGACTCTAAATCGGAGAATCTGGGCCTTCAAGTCAACAGGCAAAAGTCTCACTTGTGTCCAGTCCAGCACATACAATATATCGGCGCAATACTGGATTCAAAGACATGCATGGCTTACCTGCCCAACAACAACAACAGGGCAGCAGATATAATTTCCCTTGCCACCGTTGTCCGCACCCAATAGTCTGTCACTGTAGGGGACAAATGGGACGTGCAGACGAGGAAAAATCACATAAACTTCCTCGAACTCCTAGCCATACGACACGCCGTTACCTCCTTCCCTTCCTCAAGGGGAAATGTGTCACGGTCCTGACGGACAACACCACAGTGCTGTCATATATCAACAGGCAGGGCGGCACGGTCTCCCAACACCTGTGCAACCTTGCCATTCAGTTGTGGGAGTTATGCATCAACAACGACATATTCCTCATGGCCACTCACATCCCTGACCACATGAACATGCAGGCTGACCATTTAAGTCGAGCCGGACTCAGCCTACACGAGTGGGGGATGAACCCAGAATACCTCCTCCCACTCTTCCACGAGTGGGGAACTCCCCAAGTCGAGGTTTTTGCGACCAGAAGCAACAAAAAGTGTCGTCTGTTCTGCAGTCGAGGAGGCAAAGATTCACAGTCTCTGGGAGACGGCCTCCTTTACCCTTGGTCAACAGGACCTCTTTACCTGTTCCCCCCCTTGCCTCTGCTTCTGAGAGTTGTCCACAAGATACTCAAGGACGCTGTGGACTGTATCCTAATAACACCATGGTGGCCAAGACAACCTTGGTTTTCAACAGTCCTCAAGTTGACACGGGGGATATACCATCAGTTTGCCCCAGCCACGGACCTCCTCATTCTCTCAGACTCCCCAGTCCTGCACCACAACATACCTCAGTTGAAACTGATGGCATGGCTGATAACATCACAGGCTTCTCCTCCCGTGTAGTTAACGTCCTCCTGAATTCCAGGAAGCCCACTACGCGGAAGTGTCCTCCTGAATTCCAGGAAGCCCACTATGCGGAAGTCTTACGATTATAAATGGAGAAACTTCTGCTCTTTTCTGGGTAATGACGCCTCTCAAGCCACATTGGCTGGCCTCGAAAGAATTTTCCGTTTCCTCCTCTACTTAGCTGACTCGGGACTTTCCCATTCTTCGTTAAAAGTTTATTTGGCCGCTATATCGGCCTACCATGTTCCACAGTTGACGGATGTACTTTGTTCTCACATCCAATTTCAAAACGGGTTTTAAAAGGTTTACTACACTTCTACCCTCCTGTCAAAACTCCAGTCGCTCCCTGGGAACTTCCTCTAGTTCTACGCCAGCTCACGAGGAAGCCCTTCGAGCCACTCGCAACATGCAAACTCAGACTCCTAGCATGGAAAACGGCCTTTTTTAATTGCCCTCACCTCGGCTAGGTGAGTGGGAGAGATATTGGCTTTCCGGCACAATGCACCTTTCCTGTCATTTCTGGCAGATGGAGTCCCCCTTGTCCCGGACATCTCCTTCCTGCCGAAGGTGGTGTCAGAGTTCCACCTGCAGGCTGAGGTCTTCCTCGCAGACTTCTTTCCAAACCCTACGTC